CAAGTGCTTTATGTTAATCTTAACTTACATAGACATCCTGGTACAAGTATTAAAAAGAGATGAGATTTAAAAAAAAATAAATAAGTTTTGCATCTTCACTTATTTTGCATCTTCACTGAAAAGGACTGTTTCCTTTTCAAACATTTATAGAAATTATCATAAAATCCATGTATCTTTTATTTATTTATTTATTTATTTATAAAGTTAATTTGTCTGCCACCATGGAGTAAATCACTCAAAAGAACTAGTGAATGCCAATACTTAAAAAAAAAAAAAAAAAAAAAAAAAAGCAGGGAAACATCACCGAATCATCCCATAGGAATTAGAAAGGACTCCTTTAAAAAGGTGACATAGCCCATGGCCCAGATGAGGCAGATGAGGTGCCTATACACCAATGCATGCAGTTTTGAACATTCAGACAAACAAAAATTTGTAACAAAGTCGTCTTGTGGTATGAGCAGAGTGACAGGAATCATAGAATCATGGAATATCCTGAGGTGGAAGGCAACCACAAAGATCATCGAGTCCAGCTCCTAGTTTCAGACAGGGACATCCAAAAATCAAACCACTTTTCTGAAAACATTGTCCAAATGCTTCCTGAACTCCAGCACGCTTGGTGCCATGACAACTTCTGAGCAGAGCCTGTTCCAGTGCCTAACCACCCTTTTAGTGAAGAACCTTTTCCTAATATCCAGCCTGAACATCATATGAAACTTGCCATCAACCTCTAGATCCCTCTCGGTGGGACTGCTCTCGAGCTTCTCATCCCCCAGTTTAAACAGGATCGCCCCTTCCCAGGTGCAGAATTGTTAGACTTGCTCTTATAGACTTCATGTTGTTGGTGATTGCCCAGCACTCTAATTTGTCAAGATCTCTCTGCAAGGCCTCTCTAACCTCAGGGAAGTCAACCACTCCTCCCAACTCAGTGTCATCTGCAAACTTGGTATATCTTCAAGTCCTTCATCCAATTCATGATGAAAAATTTAAAGAGAACTACCCCTAAAACAGAGCCCTGTAGAACCCCACTAGTGACTGAAATGGTTTACTCTTCTCTGTTGGCAAATAATCAAGATTCTTATATTTGCAAAACCAGTGGTGACAGTCTACTAAGAGTTATTGTCCTCTAGTTATAGTACTTAGATGACTGTGCTATATTCTTGAAATATATATTTTTACAGTCTTTTCATAATTTTGTAGGACTACCAGAATTAGATTTCACAGTGGTTTCAAATATAGCTTTTACAATTTCTCCAATAAGGATTTCTTGTAACTTCATATACCACCATATTAAAAGGGAAAACAAATAAACAAACAAACAAACAAACAACAACAAACAGGGAAAATGTAAAAGCAATCACTAAATCAGACAGAAATTGAAGGTATGTTAATCTGCATGTGATCCTCAATGGAAAAAAGTCCAATGCTGCTTTTTTTTTTTTTTTTTTTTTCAGAATAATTATCTTTTACAACAAGTAGTAAATAGGTTTCTCTACTCACAATACAGTCACCTTCCTTCTTCCTTAGTGTACAAAGAGGAAAACATATGATGGTACTTCTGAGTTAATAAGACTGCTTAAATAGTGGAAGTGGTAATTTGTTCTAAACTCTCTTTATGACTGACTCTGTCTTATGAGACTTCTCTCAGCTCTGAGGGACATAGCACAGAGAAGATCTGGAGTCTCTAGAGTACTGGGAAAAGCCCCATATCTAATTCTGAACAAAAATTAAATCTCAAAGCTCTTAGAAATATGTTCTGTCAAAAAAGTTGGAGAAATTTATCAAACTGTCTGAGGAATTACGTTGGCTTAGATAATGGCAAGAAGATCTGGTGCTCAGAACTAAAATACTTTTCTAATGGCACAGAACATTGACAGATGAATCTTCAGTAATGGTCATTTTTGGCCTCAGACACCTAACAATATTTCTCCTTTGCAGTTCTTTTATCATTTTTATCACAGAAGCCATGCCTATGTTTCACTCACTCTTGAATTTATTGCATTGGGTTGGGAGGGCATAGTTTATCTGTATTAAAATCAACATACAATCTTGTATACATTACACATGCAACTCATATTGTATAACGACATTTTTGTTGATAGCCCTTTTTTTAATTAAAACTAAAAAGAGTGATTTTCACAACTTAAAAGGATATCAGACATAATAAAACTTGGACTTTTTCTAGGACAAAAAAAGAACAAGAAACATGATGGACTTTGAATAACACCTCAATGGTAATGCTATATAATTGCTTTCCATCCCTTCCATCAGCAGTGAAGCTTAAAAACATTGATCAAAGATGATGACTAACACATAACACTTAGGCTGCAGTACATTGTTATAGTTCTTCACCCTCATAATAATTGCAGCATGAGCTAGCATAAAGATGAATATTTTTTCTTAAATGGTATTTCAGTCCAGACAGATAGGATGAATCTGACAGGAATGAGCTGTATTAGAACACGAGTGTCAATAGATCTATCATGTCCAGTTGACTGAAATGGATGAAAATACTCTGAAGATTTTATATTACTACACAATATATTACTCACTGTCAAACTCCTGCTCTGCAGACAAGCCATCTAAAGCCTCAATTGACAGATTGCACACTGAAGCTATTTGAAATTAAACATAAATTAGCTGATGACATAATGTGCTTAATACCTTACCCACCATGATTTGTCATTAAAAATATTGAAATAGAATGGTGCTATTGAATACAACTTACAATCATAGAATCATAGAATATCTTGAGTTGGAAGGGACCCAAAAGGATCATTGAGTCTAATTCCCAGCTCCACACAGGACCACCCAAAAATCAAACCACATGTCTGAAAGTATTGTTTAAATGCTTCTTGAACTCCAGCAGGCTTAGTGCTGTGACCACTTCCCTACGGAGCCTGTTCGAGTTCCAGATCACCTTTGCAATGAAGAATTTTTTCCACATCCAAGCTGAACCTTTCCTATCACAGCTTTGTGCCATTCTGCCTTGCCTTGCCTTGCCCCTGCCCTTCCCTCCTCTTCATCCAAAATATACTGAAATAATATTGGTTTACCTTTACTAAACTGAAGTATGAGCAATGTCATCTAATTTTCTTTAATATTTTTTTTTTCTAGGTGCGTGTGTCAATCTGCTCGAGGGTAGGAAGGCTCTGCAGGAGGATCTGGATAGGCTGCACCAATGGGCTGAGGTCAACTGCATGAAGTTTAACAAGGCCAAGTGCCGGGTCCTGCACCCGGGGCGCAATAACCCCAAGCAGAGCTACAGGCTGGGAGATGAGGGGTTGGAGAGCTGCCAGGCAGAGAAGGACCTGGGAGTGATGGTGGACAGTCGGCTGAATATGAGCCAGCAGTGTGCTCAGGTGGCCAAGAAGGCCAACAGCATCCTGGCTTGTATCAGAAACAGTGTGACCAGCAGGGCTAGGGAGGTGATCGTCCCCTGTACTCGGCTCTGGTGAGGCCGCACCTCGAGTACTGTGTTCAGTTTTGGGCCCCTCGCTACAAGAAGGACATCGAGGTGCTTGAGCAGGTCCAGAGAAGGGCGACGAAGCTGGTGAGGGGCCTGGAGAACAAGTTCTACGAGGAGCGGCTGAGGGAGCTGGGCTTGTTCAACCTGGAGAAAAGGAGGCTCAGGGGCAACCTTATTGCTCTTTACAGATAACCTTAAAGGAGGCTGTAGAGAGGTGGGGGTTGGCCTGTTCTCCCACGTGACTGGTGACAGGATGAGGGGGAATGGGCTTAAGCTGCGCTAGGGAAGTTTTAGGTTAGATGTTAGGAAGAACTTCTTTACTGAAAGGGTTGTTAGACACTGGAACAGGCTGCCCAGGGAAGTGGTGGAGTCACCATCCCTGGAAGTCTTTAAAAGACGTTTAGATGTAGAGCTTAGGGATATGGTTTAGTGGGGACTGTTAGTGTTAGGTTAGAGGTTGGACTCAATGATCTTGAGGTCTCTTCCAACCTAGAAATTCTGTGTTTCTGTTTCTGTGTTTCAGAAGATATCGGTTCTGATGTAACTTGCTGTTTTGGGATGTGTTATGGACTCAGAGGAGATTATATGGTCAGAACAGAAAACATCTGAATTAGTTGCATAGTTAGTGCACTCACTTCATTTCTGCTTACGTAAGATATATTTAAGCTATTATAATCAGAAAAAAAATATTATCTATGAAGTAAAGCAGATGCAACAGAAAGAAATCCAACCTGGTAACTGGCATTAGAATGTTCTTGAAGGTGTTTTATTTGATAATGTCAAAACAGTGAATGATTCCTACATTTTTCATATTAAAGTGAGTATCACAATAAATAAATAAAATAAATAAAATAAATAAATAAATATCAGCTGTGTTATACAAAGTCTTTTTTTTTTTTTTTTTTCCTCTCTCCTTAAAATCATAGAATATCCCAAAATGGAAAAGACCCACAAAAATCATTGAGTCCAACTCCAGGGGCCCCAAAGGACAACTCAAAAAAATCAGACCACATGTCTGAGATGTGTCCAAATGCTTCTTGAATTCCAGAAGGTTCAGGGCCATAACCACTGTCCTGGGGAGCCTGTTCCAGTGCTCAACCATGCTCTCAATGGAGAAGATTTTCCTGATATCCAGCCTGAAATTCTTGTTTTCATTAAAGGAAATAAAATGACTTTGAAATACTTTTTTTGAAAAGAAACTCTTCTTTTGTTTTGTTCTGTTTTCCTAATGTAACATAGGTTTTAGTTCCATAGGCCTATAGCACTTTGTCTCTGCTGCTCCTTCATGGTCACTGTCTTCCCCTGCTCCAAGGTGGGGTCCCTCCCACAGGATGCAGTCCTTGCTGAACTGATCCTTTGTGGGCTTCCCACAGGCAGCAGCTATTCAAGATCTGCTCCAAATATGGGTCCATCCCTCAGGAGCACACTGCTCCGTCATGGGTCCCCCATGGGCAGCAGCTCCTGCCACCACCTGCTCCTGCATTGGCTTCTCTCCATGGGCTGCAGGTCCAGCCTGGAATCTGCTCTGGCAGGTGTTCTCCACAGGCTGCAGCCTCCTTCAGTAGTTCCCCTGCTTCACTGTGGTCTCCTCCACAGGCTGCAGCATGGAACTCTGCTCCACTGTGTTACACCATGGGCTGCAGAGTGGACAACCTGCTTCACCAATTCTAAATAAAATGAAAAGCACTTCAGTGAAACAAACAGCAACAGCTCAATCACATTAGTATCTACTTTTAGTTTTCTTGTACCTCGTAACATCGTTAAAACCTAAGTGTATAATGGGTTGTTTGCCAAAAAATAATAGATAAAAAAAATAGATAAAACAAGTAAGGTTCATTTTGAAGCAGATACTCCCATTACCTTTCTTTAAAAAAAAGAAAAAAAAAAGGTATATATATTCATATTTCTGTCCTCTTAAAATTAGCTTAATTCAATTTTAAGTACTTCATTTGTTATTAAAAACAAAAGACAACAAAAAATTATTCTTTTGTTTTAAGTTTAGGAAACTTCAATTCATTAGGTAAATTCAATTTAGGTAAATTTGACAATGAAGACTTCATTTTGAAATTAAGACATGGCATATTACACTTAAAACACTGAAAAGGAATATTTCTGGAAGGCCATATATCTCCATTACAGTACTGCTATCATCATTTATTGTGTGGATGTACAAATAGCTTAATTATTCCCAAAAGAGGATCTTCATGCAAAAAGACAAAGTTATTTTGACTTTCTCATAGGTAAATAGTGTAATAAACATACCAGTCTACTTTGCTGCAACAGTACTTTCAAGCTTACATCCACTCCCACTTCTAGAACTGGACTGCAAGTCTGTCAGCGTTTTTAGCTGGAGTTTCCTTCACATTTTCTTTAACACTGTCTCCCAAAACAACAAAAGTCTAAAGTTTTAAAGTCTATATGTTCTCCCTTTCTTCTCTACAAGGTGTGCGCCTCAGATCTCACTGTCAGAGTGGTATCTTACTGAATTCTTAGATGGAAACATCAGTCTCTCAAATTTCTGAGTAAAGGAACATCTCTCTATGACTGCCTATGGGGTTGGAAGGAATTACCAGAATCAATGTCCTGTCAAACTTGCATCAGTCAGCAGAACCAGGAGTACAGCTAATGGGAATGCTCCTCCTGAACACTGGAGTGATTTAAGATATCTCTGAAGGAAAGGAAAATCTCATGTTGCCTGTAGAGAGGGTACATTTATTGTCTTTTTTTCTTTTTCCAATCACATGTATGAGCTTCCATATTTCTAAGTGGAATTTCACCTACCTGTCCATATTTTAATGTCACTATTGTAGATCTCATTAGTAAATCAATATTTGCCAATACTCACAGAGAACTTTCATTGTATATAAAGTGTCAAATTGATAATGATATTGCAAATATATGACTGGAGTGATAACTATTGACAGAATGATTGAGCACTGATATTGGTGTTACTATAACCTTATCTTTATTCTTTCTTTTTCATAATCTGGCAATGTGGCATAAAGACCACATGGACAGCAGAGTTCTTTCAGGATCAGTAACTGCTACTACTTTATTGATGACATAACTTCAACTCAACTTTCTTACTGAGGACAGGTGCCCTTATTATACCATTCGCTCTACAGCAACTTTTCCAACTTTTCCACTGGCCAAACAACTTTGCCCAGCAACCGCAAATACCCAGCAACTTCCATGTCTTAATGACTGGAGAACAAGCAGTCCCAGACAACAAGGCATTTCTTCAAGCGCCCTTCTTTGTTCCTTCTAAATCCTACATTCCCCATGGCCTCATTGTTAAGAGTCCAATGTTATCACCAACCACAGGGCTTGTCAACCCTCATGGCCACACTCCCACATGGGATTAAGAACTTGGATATTTTCTAATTTTCTCCACACTATACAAGGATATTAAGGTACTCGAATGCATTCAGAGTACAGCAACAAAATTAATAAAAATGCATGAAGGCATGTCTTCATGTCAGACTGAGGATGCTTGGTCTGTCCAGTTTGGACAAAAGAAGTCTGACAGGTGACCTCATTGATCTCTGAAACTTCCTGAGGAAGGGAAATGACAGGACACATGGGAATGACACAGAACTACATCAGGAGAGGTACAGATGATATATTTTAAAAAGTTTCTTTACCATGAGGGTGATCAAACAGTGGCATAGGCTTCCTTGAGAGATGGTTGATGCCCCACGCTGTGGTGGTTTTACCCAGCTGAGCTCCACCACAACCACTCTCTTACTCCCCCTCCTCAAAGGGAAAGGGGGAGAAAATGCGATGAAAAGGGCTCAAGGTTGAGACAAGGACAGGGAAATCACTCAACAATTATGGTCACAGGCAAACCAGGCTCAGCATAGGTAGATTAAATAAATTTATTACCTATTACTAACAAGCTAGAGAAGATAGAAACAAAGAAAATAAGCCTTCCCCCAACCACCCTCTTCCAACTCCTGCCCCCAAGCAGCACAGGGGGACAGCAGAATGGGGGTTGTGGTCAGTCTGTAGTGTTTTACCTGTCATTCCTTCAGAGTCACTCTCCTCCCCTTCTCCATGTGGGGTCCCTCCCACTGAATAAAGTTCTTCCCAAAGCTGATCTTACGTGGGCTTCCCACTGGTAGTCACTCTTCAAAAACTGCTATATAGGTCCATATCATGGGGTCCATCCTTTAGGAGAAAATCTCTCCAACATCGGTCCCCCATCCAGGGGCAGCTCCTGCCAGATAACCTGCTCCTGCATGCATTCCTCTCCACAGGCTGCAGCATGGAGATCTGCTCCACCATGGTATCCCATGGGCTGCAGGGGGACAGCCTGCTTCACCAAGGGCCTTTCCACAGTCCACAGAGGAATTTCTCTGTACCTGGAGTATCTTCTTCTTCAGTAACCTTGGCGTCTTCAGTGCTGTTTCCTCACTCCCCACTCTCCCATTTTTTTTTCACTTTTCTTAAATATGCTCTCACAGAAGCAAAACCAACATTACTTATTGGCTCGACTCTGGCCAGCAGCAATTATTTAGAGCCAGCTCCCTTTGGAGCCAGACTGAAACTGGCCCTTATCTAATATGGAGCAGCTTCTGGATTCTTCTCATAGAGGCCGCCCTTGCAGCCCTCCACTACCAAAACCTTGCAAACCCAATACACATGCCTGTCAGCGTTCAAGAGGCATTTGGATAATGCCCTCAATAATATTCTTTAACATTTGGTTAGCCCTTAAGTGATTGGGCAGTAAGTAGAGTTAGATCATCTTTCTAGGTCCATTCCAAATCAACTATCCTATCCTATTCCTTTCATGAAATTCATAAACATTTTATTTACTCCATGTAACAGAAAATTAATATAAGTACCAACAGAATCACTCATGTCATCTCTATTTCTAGTGATTTATACCACTCTGAGACAGCTCTCAGTCTCCATGTTCATTTGCACATAATTTTGTATCTTTTGAGATTTACACAATTGATATAAAGTTCACATACATGTTACTTTCATTTATTTATTCTTACTTTAGCCATGAATACAGTAAGTATTTTAATGAAAATTTTGTATTTTTTCAGTGGTACTGTTTAAGAAATCTATTTATTTAGTGTAAACCCAGTTTGGTGTAATATTTTCCACTAAGAACATTTTTTGAGATTGCAGTTAATTCTATTCCACTTAGAGAAATGTTAGCTATCCACCAAACCAACAGCAGTCTTAGTTATCTTGTGACCTGTCCCTGAAAGAGAGACTGGTCAGGTAGTTTTTTGTTTTTTTTTTTTTGATTATAGACTGTGTTAGTAATAGGTACACTTTTTTTTTTTTTTTTTAATACTTCCTATCATCTTTTCATCTGGAATGTAAAGTAAATTTTCAATCATATAAATATGCAACGTTCTCATCTGTATATTTTAATTGAAATTATTTTTCTTCTATTTTTTTCCTTTAATTTCTTTAACTGAAATTCAATAACAAGAAATTACTCCACAAAGAAATGTTGTATGAGACAAAAAAAAAATAAATAAAAATGAGAAGGATGTATACAGAGCCACATCTGACAAGAATAAACTCTTTCTTTCTTCTCTTATGATAACATTGTGTACCGTGGTTGCAAAGTGTTTCTTTTTTTTTTTTTTAATTTTCCAGAAATATATTGCTGATATATGTTTATACTACTATTTCTGTGAGTTTGAAAAAAAAAAATCACTTATAAGTGATTGCTATTAGCAATCTAAAACCTGAATATTAGATATACCAAATAACCAAAGTTTTTCTTGTAACTAAGAAGAATAACATTTTCTAAACACTTCTGAGAATCATACTATAAATTTGTCTGTATAAGTTTCTGGGCAAAGGTTTGCAACAGTACAGACATTTTCAGTGTTATGAGCCTGAGTATTGTCTTTGAATACCAGGATGTTGCAAATGAAACGGTGCTTTTCTAGATGAATAAGCGTTACATACATCTATGAATACAGTGTTATATACATCTATGAATACAGCACAGTGATGACTCATCTGAGCACTAGCGACTTTTTTTTTTTTTTTTTTTTTAAAGTTAGATTGAATGGTTTAACTGATCTAAATTTTTAATGTTTGGTTTGCCTGGTATGATTAAAACAAGCAATGCTCTCTTTTACTCTCCACTGCCATCACCTTGACTGTCTGTCATACTTAAATTAAAAAATGAAATAGAATGATGATGCCTAGTTCATGTGCAATGCATTTTGATAACAATTGTTGAAGCAGGACAGACATATCTATTTGCTCCCTTATGGAAAGCTTCATTAGTAAACTGGATCAAATGAGTCTGGATCAAGTCAAGAAAGAATGCATGTTTGACTGATGGCATTCACCATTAAAATACAATACACCTTTTCTTTCTCAAATTTCCCCAAGTTCCCTCTCCTTAATTACTACAGAAGTGTTTATTTCATGTCTTAAAAGGTTGTTTCTAGTTTTTAGTATTGTCATTTTATCTTGCTGAAAACCAGAACTTCTTTTTTGATAGAAATTATTACTGTCACAGTTTGATATTTTTGATAAAAGCATTTGTTAGTTAACACTTAGGAAAGTTATTTTCTCCCTCTTATATTGTACTCTGACAGATTTTCTCCCACACCTCCAAGCCTACAGAACAAATAGACAGAATTTTTAGAATTTATTGAAACATTACTTCTCAAGTAAC